AATGGTTGATATTTCAGATTCAAAACTCATATGTAATCATTCATACTACCTCGACCTAATATGGCATATGAGTAATCACTATGTACCATTCCCTAATCATAATGATTACTCGTAAAATATCGAAAAGTTAGAAAAAATTCCATGGCAGAAAGACTTCTAAGAAACAAACTATACTGTGACCCACCTGGCAGGCAGACAGGGTGACAGCGTTCATGTAACGCACAGGCAGTGCATGTCAGGGACCGTCTCAAAATATCAAGTGTCACTCCTGGTCGAGGACTTTGCGGAATTACAACAGGTGCAACTCGGCTGACGTTAACGCCGCCCCGCAGACGGTATTCGTCCTCGATTTTGAGAACACGGTCTTTAGCCTTTTGCTAAACTCTGGGGTAATTCTCGCAAAAGAAGCATACACAAGCTCTTTAACGTCTGAAAGCTTGAATGTGGTATCATTGCGAGCAATAAAATTCTTACAGTTACCCCAGATCAGCTCGATGGGATTGAGCTCACAGTGTACTGGTGTACGCAGAACTATGTGGCCTTGTTTTGCAGCTAGTTCGCCAGTGATGTACTGGATTGGCAATTTGTGCTGCCAGATTTTTTCCATGAGCTGGGGCTTTGTTTCTGATTGCCTGTAAGGCACGTTACAGGAAGTGAGAAAATCTTGCAACTGAGCCTTGAGATTGCTTATGGTGGTAGTGATGGTACCAGGGACACGCAGGTTATGGCAATTGGCGTTATCCAAAATGATAACGCTTGGTTCGTCCAGCTGCGGTAAAAGCTGATGTTTGAACCAATCCAAAAATACCTGCCCATTCATTTTGCTATGGTAATCACCATCAGATTTCTTGGCCTCAAAAACAAAGTCACAACCCCCAATGAGTCCCTTGCTATGGGTACCAGCATGCAAGATGATCAAGAGTCTACCTTTGCCTGATGGTAACACTGGTGCCATCTGAATATTCTGAAGGAAGCCATATCCGATCGGTTGAGTGATTTTTTATTACACCAGGTTTCATCAAGGTATATAATTTTTCCTTATCCTGACTCATGATCTTTGCTTATCTCCCTCTTCTATGCGAATGGTAGTGGAACACTTGAATCCTTTGTAGTTCCCTAAAGCAGACGTAAAAGTACACTCACCCACGAGTTGCCCACCCTTTCCCGCGCAAACAGTCATGTTACCAGCCTTACTTGTCACTCTCTCCCTTTTCGCCCAAGCGGATGGTTGGGCAAGTACTGGAGTCCCGTATACGGCATATATCCTTTATATATAGATCCTATTTATCGAAATTACGCTGTGTATGGTATTTGGCTATAACTAGTTTGTATTATATGTATAAAATTTGAAGAAATTGTTTGTATTTTGTGATATATTTTCATCGTAATGTAACTTGTTTACATTTCATGAAATCTTGCACTGTTTGCAGGTACCGGTTATCAGTGGCTGATCCTCACCCCCAATGCCCGTCATGTTCTTCCACCTTGCGTTGTACATAATGCATTGGTTTATCAAATTTACAATTTAATCAATATTTGTCTTACATCTATAGACGTACCATGGACCAGGTGAGGAAGTCATCTCAAGTCACTGTTGATAAACTGGAGATAATGCTGGTAACCGTGTGTTGTCTTCTACTGCAGAAATACATAATACTAGTGATTTGCTGAGTACGTTACAGGGGCAGTCGTCTGCTGTTGTTCGTGATTTAACTCGTTCCGGTAAAACATCTCATCAGAGATCGTTTAATGAAGACATTATTGCAGGGGTGGAAATAACCCATTGCCCGACGACCGAGCCCAGTGTTTTTTTCTGTCGGGCAAGCAAATTTGTATATCACACTGTACCGGTGTCCAGTTGATATTCCAATGTTAATTATGTTGTTTATTTAAAAAATCAACAAGAAAACGGACGGTATAGTGGAAAAATTATCAGGGCAAGTGATTTTACATGTGCCACTGTACCGGAGTACACTAGCAATTTAAAAGTTATTTCCACCCCTGCATTGTGCCACCTGCCGAAGCAGACGTTTTTTTGCTGACCCGCCGATACTTCTACCTGAAGTACCTCTCAGATCGGCTAGAAGAGCGACGCAGTCGACCTCCACAACGACTAGATCGTCTCCTGCAACTACAGCAGCTGTTCAGCTGTCCGATGACCAGCCTCCAACAACGCAGACATCAGTCATCAGCGAAGTAGACATAGACAACACCTCAGCAAGCCTGTATGAGTATCTGTCCCCTTCGATACTACACTGGGACCAGTCTTGCTATAAATAGGCAACGCTTTGAGGTATGCTGATCAACACAGATCATCTGCGTATATAAGGGGAAGAATGATGTATCATCACTGCAAATTGCCATTCTGGACAAGGTTATTGTCATCGCTGATGCCTATCTCCGAGGATGAGAAGCACACAAGAAGAAAGAAATGGCGGTGATACCCATTTTGCGGTCGTTTCTGTGAGTCGCAGCGAAGTAAAGATAGAGTTACGTCCCTTGATTGCCTGTTACAGAAATGAAGGGTAATTTCCCTTTGGAATTTCCTCGGCCCTGGGACTATTTACATGTGTAACGAAGCCCACTGATGCATCAGTGGAGACTTTGCAGTGCATTCTGCCTAGACAATGCAATCTAGACGCATCAACAAGCAGATCAACTCAGCTGAACTTCACAATAAAGTTGCTCACGCAACTAGGATGGCTAGTGAACCTGATGAAGTCTGAGTTGGAACCAAAACATGATCTTCAATTTCTGGGGATAAGATTATCACAACACAGAATCGAATTGTGATCCCAGAAGATCGTTGGGTCAAGATACAAGCCATGATTCCTCAAGCAGTCATCTCTCCGTTAACACTATGAACATGGCAATGTCTACTCGGTCTACTAACCTCAGCGCAGGACTTCACTCGCACAGGAAGGTTACAACTACGTCCGTTGCAACGATTCCTGGCAAAACATCTGGACAGCGTCGACCCTATCTCGCTACCAGACAATCTCAAGACGTACTTCTTCAAACCCACTACTTTGGTGGACTCACAGGTCGAATGTCTGCGGAGGGACCTATTTACAAGAGCCAGCTTCGACACGCATCTTTATGTAGATGCACCGCTACAGGGATGGGGTGCGCATCTCAACAACCAAGTTGCATCAGGGAAGTGGTCGAAAACAGAACAGCATCTTCACATCAATCTGCTGGAAATGAAAGCTGTGATCAACCCCGTACAACTATGGACGAGCTCACTGATCAACAAAATGCTGATGGTCCACACGGACAACTCTACAGTGGCATTCTCCATAAATCGGCAAGGATCAACAAGATCGCCAAGCCTACTTCAGCTCACATTCCAGTTGTTCAACATCACAGAGGATGCAAACATCTGGATAAAGGCGTGTCACTTACCAGGAGCCAAGAACGTACTAGCAGACGCTCTTTCCCGACCACTTCATCTGTCACCCACAGAATGGATACTCCATCCAGAAGCATTCCGCATTCTCTAAACACAGCTCTGTCATCTCCCCTTTTGGTGTACCTGAACCCCATTTCTACCAGAGCTACAATAAGTGTTGTTTTCGAGACATTTATTGTATCTTTGATCTCATGTTGTATTTTAGCACACGTCGGTGGGATTTTGCGTTCATACAGTTTATAAACTGCACGGCGTATGACACCCTTATCAAAGCTATCCAGTTTGTGTTTCCTACCTGGTTTTGATTTTGACACGACCCCTGAGGTAACTGAATTGTTTACAGCTTTGTAAACCTGACTATATGTCAAATTAAGTAGGGCTTTACACATTCTATAGTAAACCCTGTCATAGCTGACGAGAGGTTTCCCCCTTTGTTTCTCCAGTATGAAATACTGGTATAAATTTGAAATTAATTGTTCTGCAGAGATATCAAGTCGCATGTTGCCAGTTCATTGCTCATACACGCAGTGAAACTTCTATGGGTGAACAACATTATCTATGCAATTTGAATTAAGACTTTTTTACGTAATTATTTTGAATATAACTACTACAAGAGTTCCATCTTTTTCACATATAGATGTTAAAACCCCCAACTTTATACAATCATTTATGTAATTTAATTAGTTGAGGCTATATGAATAGTTATAGTTTGTATTTCAAAACTACAGTTTGTACTTAGAATATTTACAAATGTTGTTAAAACGTCAAAATTTCCTCCTGTGAAGTCACCCCTCAAGTGCATTTTTTCATCTGAGCTTTAATATCCAACTAGGTAGAGTCGTACATGTATATATGTGCTTTTATCTTGTGTCAAATTCATCATATTGATATTGAAGCCAAAAAGCATTTTCCAAGCATTTCCGGCTCAGGATCCAGTTTCACAAAGCGATCTTAGCACAAGCGTGATTGTTATTCCAATACTTTAACATTGGCGTGCAATCCTTGTAGCGATAACATTGCTTTGTTGGACATGGTCCAGGACTGATGAAAATGATTCCACTTAATCATTTAATATCCTACAGGGATTTACAGGACGCAAATTCCTGCGTCCTATACACATAAAAATTGTCAATGGACGCAACAAAATTTATTAGCGCATCCACAGGGACGCAGAAAAAGTCAAAATACTTTTGTAAAAATTCCAATCAAGTAACAATAAGTTATCACTGAGTTTGCTTCTAGCTGAGTTATGGTATCATTTACAATTTGATTACTGTAACAATGTGATGATCATGATACACAATACAATAACAGTATTAATAATAATATTTAAGTGTCTGGGACCCCCCATTTTGTTGTCCAGGACCTCTGAAAATTAAGAGTATGAGTCCCAGGGACCCTCAAATACAGGACTCCAGGTAAATCCCTGATCATATCTAATTTATCCAGTTACCATCATACTGTGGGTTCCATAGTAAGACAATAGTGCTGATGGAATAAAGATCTTGTGATTATCTTGATGTTCAGTTTTACCATTCTGCATCCATTTTTAAAAAGACTATGTGTCTAATTTATGCCTATTTTGCAGGTCCAGCTTTATGTGAACAAAGTGGGCCCATACTTCAACCCCCATGAAACATATCACTACTACCAACTACCTGTGTGTCGACCAGTTAAGGTAAATATGAAATCAATAGGCATTAAGAAGGACACCTTACCTGGGTAACTTGAGTTTTAACATGCTTACCCGTGAAGGTCCGGGTTAGAATATTGATCTTCAGCAACCCATGCTTGTCATAAGAGGCGACTAACGGGATCGGGTGGTCAGGCTCGCTGACTTGGTTGACACATGTCATCGGTTCCCAATTGTGCAGATCGATGCTCATGCTGCTGATCACTGGATTGTCTGGTCCAGACTCCATTATTTACAGACCACAGCCATATTGCTGAGTGTGGCGTAAAACTAAACTCACTCACTAACTCACTATAAAATGCTTTTTGCCATATTCAAATAAAATCACAATGAAACACACTAGAAATGGGCTTGATGCATTGTAACAACATTTTATAGAAGGAGGGATAGGTAATTTTGTCTAACACTTTTGTATGTGTGTAATGTTTTTCAGATTGAACATAAAAGCCTCACCTTGGGTGAAGTTTTGGATGGTGACCGCATGGCAGTATCATTGTATGGATTGAATTTTAAACGTAAGTTTTATGATGAACGTTAATTTTGTTTCGTGTTGCATTTCGTGCAAGTACTATATGAATAAATCTCACTCCCATTCACTCAAACTTTCATCAGGTATTCCTTGAGAATACGGAATATTTATGATAAATAAACGATAAGGAGTCAACCATGTTTAACGGCTTCAAATTATAAACTTAATTGTGAGTACTTGTAGCATGAATTTTAGTAGGAGCTAAACTATAGGTAACATATGCATGTAGTTCATATGTATTTGTACCACAAGTGTCTAAATTTGAGATTGACATTTATAATGCTTACGTGGTCAATGAGAATTATCATAATCTTTCAAACTGTTAAAAGTGGTAAACGGAACAACTAAAATCATATAGGAACTGAAATACTACAATTCACAATAGCAGTGTTTGATTTTATTCATTATCAGGTAGGGTTGAAATACTATTTATTCTAACAGCAATCAAAGCCAGATTACTCTTCTTGTGTGAAACTTAGTTCTTTCAGGATGAAGCTCTAATTTGAACTACTTTGTATTTTTTTGTATGATATATCATTGGTAGTGCTTGTTTATTTTATAATTACACATGAACTATAAATCATTGTGTATTTTGTAATATTGAATGCTTGTTGCCATGGTTACAGGTGATGCTGACAAGAAGGAGTTGTGTAAGGTGATGTACTCAGAAACTGACCTGAACTTATTGAGGAATGCCATAGAGGATCTCTACTACTTCGAGTTTGTTTTAGGTTTGTAATTCTATTGAAATGTATCTTGCACCTCATGTGAAGTTACAAGAAATGTCATGTTCCTGAAAAACTCTTAAGGGGCGGTGGGGTAACCTAGTGGTTAAAGTGTTTGCTCGTCATACCGAAGACCCTGGTTCGATTCCTCACATGGGTACAATGTGTGAAGCACATTTCTTTTTAGATTCATTTTCAAATGTTGACGACGGAATCCTTTCATGCCAGATTCACTCTTTCTAGATGATATTCCTATCCGAGGGTTTATTGGGCACCTGGAGGAAGGTGGTTTTCTGCCCCACAACCACAAGATCTACCTGTGGGCACATCTCCACTTCAATGTGGAGTACAATGGAGAAAATGTAAGACATTATGCCTCTAACCAATGCCTACAAGTAATGTTGCTGTATTTATATCATGATGTTAACTGTTCATTTGCTCTACCAGAGGCAATGGTGTAGCCTAGTGTTTAAAGCATTTGCTTGTGACGCTGAAGACCTGGGTTGGATTCCCCACATGGGTACAATGTGTAAAGCCCATTTCTGGTGTCCCCCTTGCCGTGATATTGCTGGAATATTGCTAAAAGCGGCGTAAAACTAAACTCACTCACTTACTCATTGCTCCATCCAGACATCACTGATAACTTTACCAAGAGGTGGAACATGTAGACATGATCAAGACCCTTATTCAAAGTGACAGCAAACCAAATTCACTCACTCATCTTGGCCATGGTTATGACAGTGACAGAACTGGTTGGTCAGATTTGGTACTTGAATGTGAGTCATTGTGCACTTATGGTATGGATTCATGTTCATGCTTTCAGTGGGGCGGTGGGGTAGCCTAGTGGTTAAAGCGTTCGCTCGTCACCCCGAGGACCCGGGTTCGATTCCCCACATGGGTACATTGTGTGAAGCCCATTTCTGGTGTTCCCCGCCGTGATATTGCTGGAATATTGCTAAAAGCGGGATAAAACCCCACTCACTCACTCACTCATGTTTTCTGTGATAGGTTTGCCCAGACCAGATCTGAATTTGTACAGCCTGTGATTTTACTTGTGTATTGTTGACTGCATTGTTACATAGCAGTAACTGGGTGACTCTGTTGTGACATCTTCTTTGTTCCCTGCTGCAGGTTATCTATGCCAATGTCTCCACCAAGGAACAGCCACCAGTGTCTCTTGATTCCGTCACCACGCCATTTGAAGTCGCTTTCACCTACAGTGTCAAGTGGCATATGACAAAGTAAGTCAATTACCCTGTGTAAACATGTAATGGTTTTATCCCCCCTCAGTGTGTTGGCCTATACACGTTGGGTATGTTGTGAACAGCCAATCGATTGCAAGTGATTCACCTTAGGGACCGTTCACAATTTATGGCTTGTGATGATGATTTGTGTGCGTGCGTGTGCGTGCGTGCGTGCGTGCGTGCGTGCGTCCTTGGTGGTGGGTCATTGGTTTTGTACATGACATGCAGGGGATGATGGGGGGGGTCACTTACTTTGTACATACATAAATTTTAGGTGGGGTCGTTCATATTGTACATGCTTCTTCATAAAAATCATCATCACCCCCTAGCCATAAATTATGAACGGCCCCTTACAATCACACCAATACTGTCTTAGGTCACGTACCCGTGAAGATATAAATTAGAACTGGTCTTCAGCAACCCCATTCTCTTCCCAAAGAGGTTACTCCTGTCATATCTTCCTACGTAACCTCTGTTCTAATACGGCCCTTTCATGGTGTGAGCGTTCAAGACTCGTGATTGGAGGCAATCAGATTTAGTTGTGCAATCAGCGACGTTGTTTCAAAAGTGATCATTCGCAAGGCCTCTGTAATTTCCGTATGCTTCAGGAAAAACTAAATTTCTTCCCCTGCGCAACGCGCAAACGTTTCTTCTAGACAGAACTCAGTCATGTTATGGCGAATCAGTGGCGACTCCATCGCCCTCGTTGACTACGGACAAGCTAGCCATTGAACGTCTTGTGTGTAACATCAACACAAATTCCCCGGCAGATGGGGGATATTTGTGGCCCCACATTTGCTTGTGTAAGTCAAGTTAAATCTAAGTCGATGTAACACGTGTTCTGATTGGATAGAAAGAAGGGAGATAATTAGTGTTGCGATCTTTTGCCGCTAGGGGATTTTACGAGAACCGGGAAATATGGCCGTATTAGAACAGAGGTTCGTAGGAAGATATGACAAGTAACCTCTGTGGGAAGAGAATGCAGCAACCCATGCTTGTCGCAAAAGGCGATTAGCGGGATTGGGTGGTCAGGCTCACTGACTTGGTTGACACATGTCATCGTATCCCAATTGTGTAGATCGATGCTTCTGCTATTGATCACTGGATTTTCTGGTCCAGACTCGATTATTTACAGACCGCCGCCATATAGGGAAATGGGTAAAGGCAGCTATCATCCCAGCATCCATAGTCTGCTCCACATCTTTAAAGTAGTCATCAATAGTCATAATTCTTTTGGCCTCACCAGTTACGTTCTTCATTAGAGAAAGGCAACCTAGAGGTAGTTGCACTGCCACTTTTAAAGATGGCTCAAGTACCTTTAGCTGTTAGAGATCTTGGATGAGCAATTAATTTTTTTACTCAAGCAATTCATGGCTTGTAACGTAGCCCTACAGTTTCCATTTTGTGATGTAAGAATACTGTTGGTGTAACTTATTCCCCACTTTGAGAAAGCATATGTGTATTTTGTTTTATTTAATTGCATTTTCACTAAAACTGTTACATACAGCAGAAATAGTTCTGAAATGTTTTGCATACCTGTCTGCCTTTGGCAAAGCAGTAATATTAATGGCACGACAGTGAGGGGTTCAGGGCTCATATCCCAGATGGGGACATTTGGACGTTTTTGATTGTATGGATGAACAGTGTATTTTTATATATATTAAATGATATTTTCTTGCCGACACCTTGTTACAAAGAATGGACACTAACCCAAGGTGGTGAAGGGCCCAGTATTATGTATTTTTGATATGAGCAGAAAGGTTTTTCATATTTTTTGTATATAACTAAACACAAAATCACCCTCATTCACACTCAATCATACAATTGCACACACGATAACAGTAATATAAGTCAAGTAATTACTGGTATCCTTCTCTGGCCAATTTATGCTGAAGACATTTACAATCAAAAGTGAATAATGCACCATCCATTTTCTCACGAAATCTGCTGATTATAACCGTGTGATATTTTATTTCTCATAAGAAGCTGTCTTTTCAAGTGTTCAAAGCTGAAAGCTTTGTCTTGTACCTTGCATTTATAGCTGAAAAATGTGGAAAGTAAAATGAGAAAATAAAAAATGTCATTAGAGAGAATATTTTGTTGTAAGCTAATAAAATATACTGGGCATTGAGGTTCATATTCATTACATGTTGACACTTTTGGTTTATACAGACTCCAAAACTCTCTGACCATATCATATTCCAAACATAAGTGTTGAATGGTTTCTGTTTCACAAGGCAGATGTTAAAGGCTGGGGTTCAAACCTATACACAGATGGGGTGTGGCCTCCTTGCCTTGTCAAAGCTGTCTTTTGATGCAAAGCAATGCAGTATTCAAGTACATTCCATGAAATATCACAAAATTTACTTACCGGTTCAGGCTGATATTAAGTCATAGTATAAAGAAGTAAGTTATGAAGACTCACAGCAAAATGTATGGATGCAGAGAGTCTACAAAACATACAGTTTGAAAATATATGGAGGTTTGCGCCCAAGCCTTTAACATCAAGTGTCATGATTAAAATTGTTTTGCTAGCTTTGCTTCTTTATAGGCTTTTTACATGCATTTTATTTGGCATATTTTCCATATTTGTTAGAGTCTTAATGATGCTCATAATTATTTGCAGATCTAGACATAAAATTCAAATCACAATATTGTGTGATTAACCTGGACATAAGTGATGTTAGAACTGTTTGTAAATTGTGGGTGGACCAGATTTGTTGATTGTTTTACAGTGTGATATTGCTGGAATATTGCTGGAATATTGCTAAAAGCAACGTAAGACTTAACTCACTTACTGCAGTGAACTAGACATGATTGAGCCTTGCAATCTGATGGAACATTCTTTCTGTTAAAGCCACCATGTTATCATGATGTTCATATGTCAGTGGGGGCGGTGGGGTAGCCTAGTTGTTCAAGTGTTCGCTCGTCATGCCCAAGACCTGGGTTCGATTCCCTACATGGGTAATGTTTGAAGCTCATTTCTGGTGTCCCCTGCCATGATATTGCTGGAATGTTGCTACCAGCATTGTAAAACCATACTCTCACTCACTCACTCACTCACTCATGTCAGTGAGTGGGTTGATGTTACAACTTTACAACAATGTATCGCGTTACAAGGCTGACAATTCCATTCATCACTTTACTACTCCATTATCGCAGTACATAACAATATATTGCATCCCCAGTTATGTTAGTGTAAAACACATAAATAACAACAGAAACTGTTCAATAATGAGCCTATGCAGATTTTCAGGTATTTCTTGGTCAGCTTGGCCTTCAGTTTCACTTGTCATCTCTGATCTCTGGAATTTCAAAATATGTCATTTAGGGTTGTGATTAACCTGCAGAAAGAAAGAAAGAATATTACCATATGAAATAAAAGCACTGCATTTGGATGAAAATCATATCACACCACGGTAACAGGATATGTATCGTATCACAACTTCACTGTATCTTTACACCAGGAACATGTGACATGTTTATACCACAGGTGTGATAGGTTTGTGATCATTGATGTCAAGATAGACCCACTGCTTTGGTGATAGTCCCTTAGTAATTTACTGTAATGATGAACATTTACGGTTTACTTATCATTCCAGATGTGCTTTCCTAACTGTATACATACACTTATCAGAGGGGTACACAATGTTTTTGATCTAGACTACCAGTCCTTTTTGTGGAGTGGGTTTGATGGCTGACTTGGTGTGGTGGTGATTAGGTGCCTGACTCTGAGGATGTGGGTTTGAATCCTGATGGGACTCAACCTAACAAAAGTACTAGAATCTGTACTTTAATGAGAAAGTGTAATCCCAAATATAATATCTGTATACATACAGATTATGCATATTCATTATCCCGTATATTTGAAACAAAGTACAGTGATACTCTGGTGCTGGTGAATTGTTGTCATGGTTACAATGTTACTGTTGTATACCAAGCCAAACTGGACAAAGGCCCCTGTTATAGAGGAATGTTGTGTATGACACAGTTGTTAATATTCCAGCAATATCTGGGACAGTTTCTGATATCTTAATCTAGCAAACCGTTCAACCTTTCTTTTCATCCATGTGAACATTATAATCTGATTAGATGCATTATATCAAGTCTCAACAAAATGTTCAGTTTTTGCCTTCTCACACAGTATCATTTCATCAAGTCTTTGTTATGTTAAAATATTGATAAGAGGCATATGCTCATAAAGAGAGTCACAGATGTGGTAGCTTGTCAATACTTCATGCATCGCTGCTATGATACTGCCAATTTATCAGATGTCAGCTGTTCTCAATTATTGATATTTGAGGCTCAATTAATAATGGAGTCTTCGAGCTCAAGGGAGAAAACTCTGTTAATCCACAGAACTGGCTACTGGTTTCACAAAACCAAATGTATTCCCATAGATTGCTATAGTAACATTATATATTTTTAAATCATCCAGGCTGTCAACAGCCATTCCATGTACACATGGGTACAGTCTGGCCTTCAAACTACAATAAAAACACAAATTCCGGCTAACTTATCCTGCTAATGTTCCGAGCACAGGAAGCTGAACACATCACCCCCAGTTCCGCAGCAAATGTCACCTACTTGAAAATATTCGCACACACATTAAGCATAAGTCATGGTGATAAAAATGACAGCACTAAATACTTACAATTGTGGTCAGTTTTAATTACTGGATGAATGTTCTTTTATAAAACATAAAATCTTACACTATTTCATCCAATGACACGTCTCTATCTCTTCAGATGTTTACATACGCTACTTGCTCAGGGAGCATGTTATTCTGATTTAGTTTAGTGGAACTTACTGCAGTGTGAGCTGGGGCGGTCGTCCAGCCTGTGGTGGTTAATGCATTCCCACCTGGGTACAATGTGTGAAGCCCATTTCTGGTGTCCCCTGCCATGATATTACTGGAATATTGCTAAAAGTGGCAAAAAAACACTCACTCACTCACTCACTCACTCACTCACTCACTCACTCCTCACCACTCTCTCACTCCCTCACTCCTCCTCACTCACTCTCTCTCCTCTCTCTCCCTCACTCCCTCCACTCACTCACCTCTCTCTCACTCTCTCTCTCTCTCTCTCTCTCTCTCTCTCTCTCTCTCTCTCTCTCTCTCTCCTCCCTCTCTCTCTCTCTCTCTCTCTCACTCTCTCTCTCTCTCTCTCTCTCTCTCTCTCTCACTCTCTCTCTCCTCTCTCACTCTCTCACTCCTCCTCTCTCTCTCTCTCCACTCACTCACTCTCTCACTCACTCACTCTTGGATGCACATAAACCCATCATTTTCAGTGCTGCTAAAATGGTTCCCAACAAATGATACCAGATAACAATATGTCAGACGACTGACCTGTTTCAAATGTATCTTATTAAATGCTTTGTAAAACAAAGCTGAACAAAAGAAAAAAGGTCTTATGTTTCAAGAACATGGAAAGCCGCAAGACCCTTGTGCTGTTGATGGTAGCACCGTGTGACAGTGGCTATTGTGATGTTACTAGTTGTATAAGCTGATTTATTGATTTGTCACTATACTGGTTAAGCTGGGGTTTTTTGGTATGTCTTTACTGTTTAGTGATATAGCTTGAGAAAGGGCTGGTTGAGACAGAAACAAGACAAATTTAAGATTTTTTCCTAAAATATTTGCAAACTAAAGTACTGTCAGAAATAGAAAAAAATATAAACAATTCACATTTAGATCCACAATTTATGTAGTTAATATGTGAAAGTGTTCAGCCTAACTACAGTCTCGGTGGTAGGGAGATAGGAAATGTCAAAAAGGGACTTTACTGAGGAGAGATTAGTGCAGAAATTAGCAATGTGGTTTTTTTCTAAGTCCAAGTCGACTTATTTGGAACAGACCTTGGCTTTATGCAAATTAGTGTGCGATGACATTGTATTACAAAGGACACTTATTTTTCCTTATCCTGACTCATGCTTATTATCCCCCGCAACGCGTTTTGCGAGGGGTATTAAAATGGACTCCGTCAGATCCCGTGCAGAGTCCAGAACTCCGTCCGTGGCAGATTTGTCTTTTCCGGAGCAGAACTCTTAAACCGTTCACTATTTCTTCACCAAAGTTGGCACATAGATAGATCTGGTGGTGTACTGGTGCCTTTTGGTAGTTTTGGAATTCTGAATGAAATATTTTTGGCGTTTCCATGGCAACAAGTTTGACTTAGCCTGAAATTAGTGGTAGTGCTCTTTTCCGAGCAGAACTCTAAAACCGTTCACTATTTCTTCACCAAACTTGGCACATAGATAGATCTGGTGGTGTACTGGTGCCTTTTGGTAGTTTTGGAATTCTGAATAAAATATTTTTTGGCATTTCCATGGTAATAAGTTTGACATAGACTGAAATTGCTGATAGTGCTCCTTTCTGGAGCAGAACTTTAAAAACCTTTCAATACTCTCCTTCCACTTTTCTATATACACACCTAAATATTTGACATAATCATAACTCGTAGACATTTTGCCATTGAGGGGGATATTGATGACTTTGTCTTCTTGTTATGCTTGCTCCTTCCTCTATGCGAATGATAGTGGAACACTTGAATCCCTTGTAGTTCCCTAAAGCGGACGTAAAAAGTAACTCACCCACGAGTTTCCCCTTGCATACCTTTTCCCGCCAAAGGCAGTCACATGACCAGTCATGCTTGTCACTCTCTCCTTCGTCGCCCTTGTGGATGGTTGGGGTGCACAAGAGTCCCTATACGGCACTATATCTTTAATTTAGATCCTTTTATCAAAATTTTGCTGTATATGGCTTTAGAACTGTAAATACATTCATTGTATATAAAAAATCTTGTCAAAATATGTTGTGTTTTGTGACATATTTGCATCGTTTGTACTTTGTTTAGATTTGAATATGATCATATTTTTGCTGATACATGTTAGTTATTATGATTAATTATTGTTGTTTTTTCAGTTTGAAATATGAAGAAAGAGGAAAAAGACTTCGTGACAACAGCTTCTTCCCCAAGACTTTGGAGGTAACACTGACCTTTGGAAACATGAAACACAATTTCATTCACTTTTATAGGCATTAACATTTTGTCTTAATTTTATATGTTTAATTTGTCAGCCACATCTGGAACCATCTTTTATCATGGAGAGAGGTGTTGTGTATTGTTGATATTGTTGTGTTCTATTTCCAGATCCACTGGCTGTCGGTCATCAACTCCATAGTGCTGGTGTTCCTATTGATTGGTTTTGTGGTCATCATCCTGGTACGTCAGATCATTTAGTTATCACCTTGGGCTGAAACGGGCCTCATATTATGAAATACGTAGGGACTTGTCCCTGTGATGACATGTAACAACCATGCATCACATATGTTCTACATAGCATGGATAATATTTAGTCAGAAGTAACATTTTGATTACCATGAACAGTGATAAGATATGAGGAAAATAGCCTCTAGTACTCTAGTGTAATACCGCTAGACTTGTGATGTCGTAATGGTTTACAGTTATGACGTCACAATGCTAACATCTTTGTCACAACGATATTAGACCTTGCTTGATTTGCGGAAAGCTGAGTCATCACACTGTAGGGCAGTTTCTACCAATTTATGTTGGAGAGTAATAAACAGAATACTAAACTCACTTCCGAGACATACCTTTTTTATTAAACTCGCTTTCGCTCGTTTAATACCAAATCATTAACTCCTTTAATAAAAATGGTATTACACGGAAGGTCATTTAGGACCCTCTTTCTATATCATCGACAGGTTTTGTCTTGTTGTGTTGTAGACACGGGTTCTGAAAAGTGACTTTGCTCGCTACAACCTGGATGAGGATGACAGTGAGGATCTGGACCAGGACGACAATGGCTGGAAGATCATACAGACTGACGTGTTCCGCTTCCCTGCAGCCAAGAATCTTTTCTGTGCCATCCTAGGTCAGTTGATAGAATACTTTTCTGTGGTCAAAGTCACTGCAATTTGCTATGCCAAGTTTCATCCTTTTGTTGTGCTAGGAGACACGGGTCCAGATTCTTGAAATTACAGGATTGTGATACTTGGTTTGCCAGCAGCAACCCCATGTCATGGATTTCACCAAGTTTACATGTCTACAACCTGCGTCAGTTGGGACTTTCTTCCACAGCAGTGTTTTTCCTAACTTACCGAGATGCATGTGAGACAGAATGTGTGTGTTTGAAAAAACTACAGGATATTGTCAGTGTTATCTGATCTGTCTGATGTTACAGTGTAAAGTTGCAAACAACAACACCTCTCAGAGGTGGCTATTCATTCGGCCTTAAAGTCTGCAGCAACTGACGGTAAACTTCCCACACTGGAATCCCTATTTTCAACTAAATAAATTATTTCTCTCTTAATGTGTACACTACATGGTTTGGAATCATAAATTAATCTTGAATTTGATGACCCCAAACATGCATTGTATTGTAGCTGTATAAAGTGAGTGAGTGAGTTTAGTTTAATACCGCTTTTAGCAATATTCCATCAATATCATGGTGGGGGACACCAGAAATGGGCTTCACACATTGCACCCATGTGGGGAATCAACCCGGGTCTTCCATGTGACAAACTAACGTTTTAACCACTAGCTACCCCACCGCCCCATTTGTATAAGGACAGTGTGCCGTATGTTGATGACACCATTAGAGAAAGGCTTGACAGTACTGTCTGTGTTTGCAGGTGTAGGAAGTCAGTTTCTGTGTCTGGCTGCTGGTATCCTTATGATGGCACTGATGGGAATGTTCAATGTACATCGTCATGGCGCCATCAACTCTGCTGCCATCGTCCTCTATGCCTTCACTTCATGTAAGTACAGTTGAGCCTGTAGACTGCCTTTGATGTACCGAGTACCCTGAGCTGTTGTCAACTCAACTAAGCTAGCTGTATGAGGAATCATTGGTTACCATGGTTGGTGTGTCATCATTACCAAAGCTCATGTAAATCACCACCTTGACATAAGTGAAAACACTTGAGAGTTTCCCCACTGTTACTTTATTTAATTCGCCAGAAGCTAAAATACTAAAAGCAGGTTTATTTGCAAGCCTTGATCTAAAACACTTGACATTAGCACCATGGTTACCATGGCTACATGTAGTTGATGGACAAAGGGACATGAGATGCATCAGCAGCAGATGCCGAGATTGTCGAGATGTGTACAATGATTCACTCTACAAGTGGTTGCTTATCTCATGTATGACTGTTGTTGAAAGGTTTTGTGCAGAAACTGGAATGAAGGTGAACCTGAAAAAGACTAAAATAATGGTATTTCGCAATGGAGGTCCGCTCAGGGATTATGAGAAGTGGTTTTTAAATGGAACACAAATTGAAGTTGTTAATATGTATAGATACTTAGGTATTGTGTTTACTCCAAGATTAGCATGGACAAAAGCGAAAACCTGTTTATCTTCTCAGGCGAGGAAGGCCATATTTTCTATCAACAATTATCAAAAATGTTTTGGATATATTAACCATCATGAATTATTTAAGATATTTGACTCTATGATTGCTCCAATACTCTGTTACGGATCTGAAATATGGGGAACAAGCTACTGTCAAATTATTGAAACTGTGCACACCAGATTTTGCAAGTCATTTCTTAAAGTTAGTAAAACTACCAACAACAACATGGTTCTGGGAGAGTGTGGGAGAGCTCCTCCAGTATCAATATATCTCAAGAGCAGTCAAGTACTGGTGCAGACTGATACAGCTTCCTGAAACAGACTTCCTTATCAGGCATATCTAATGATGAAAACCCTCGATGATAATGGTAAAACAACATGGGCTTCTCTAGTATACTACCCATCAAAAGTTTAGACTCACCCTAAACTCACTATATGTTATGTATAATATATGGTTACATCGAAGATGAATTTCTCCACTAACTTGGGAAACCAACTGCAAACTTTATGCAGATGAATTGTGCGAGGATCATGCATAAATGCATGTGCAAATATCGATCATATCATGCTTTTGATGCAAAGTTTTGTGAAGAATTTGCCAATTTTTGATTTTCATCATTTACTGAACTTGACAATAATCTTTTCAAATAACTTGTTTTACAATACATTAGTTCATGTTAAACAGTACCTTTAAACTGAATGGAATATTTTGCAAAGTCAAGTTCAGAACTCTGAAGTAATGGCTACATTTTACACTAGTGAGTCTAAACTTTGATGGGTAGTATATTAGGTTGATATTATTCCAATATGGATTTGGTTTCTTATGGATATCTCAAGACATAGGCTGTATATCCACATTCATGGTAATTTTTAAACAGAAATCTATGACTGCTTCACTCAATACTGGCATGCATCACTATTTTCGTCACCCAAATGTAAATACTATTCACAATTTAAATCATCTCTAAGTGTCGAACCATATTTAACCAGTGAATTGCTACCAAATCAACGTAAAATCATAACTCAGTTTCGTGCTGTAACTTCAGACTTCGCGAGTGGAATGTGGCGTCATACAAACACCCCATATAATGAACGTCTCTGCCTCTTTTGTCATGCTGCTTGGCCTTGATTACATCGAAGATGAATTCCATATTTTATTAATATGTCCAAAATATTCCCAACAAAGATCTGATTGTTTTTCAATATATCTGACTCAACCACCCGACAATTGAAACCTTCATCCGATTGTTGTCATCAGACAATATACATATTTTAAAATCATTGAGTAAATATCTTTCACAAGTTCTACCCGTAGAAGGAATGATTGTCTGTAAAACAAATCAATACTAAACTTTACTTAGCTCTACTCAGTATGTATTTACTCTTGCCAAATGTATGTATTATGGGCCTTCTGTGTATGACTGTTTGTGTTGGGCAGGCATCAGTGGATACGTGTCCACCAACTTCTACAAGAGAATGGGAGGCGACAACTGGGTGTGGATCATCAACCTTACATCAGCTCTGTTTGCATGTGAGTTCACTGGATTACTACTACTAACACTTGATTGTCATGCTAAATATGATTGTGGTGTTGATGGCTTATACTGGCCCTGGGTAATGTTTTCAACATTTGAGTATTTACTCGGACATTGTCACTATTATTGACTAGGTTCTGTTTGGATTTTCCATATGTTTTTAGAAGTAGTTCTGCTATAAATGCCTTCTCCTAATGACCTGTTTGCAAACTCACAGTTACAATATGCATGTCTAATTTTTAACAGTAAGTAAGACATTGCCAAAACTTTTTATGCATTATTTCCTGCAGTGATATATACTGAACAACATGAGAAACGCACCACACTAAAATGCACCAATGATGCTCAGATATCATGGGTACATTTCAGTCTGACGGGGATATTTCGTATTATATTGGTGGTGCGTTTCTAATGTTGTTCAGTATATTTGAAAATAATATTCCTGCATTCAGTCAGGAAATGAAAATCTGTAAGCTAAAGCAGCTATGCATGTTGAAGAAGATACAGTAGGTAGTTGCTCGGAGTGTGTTTTCACCCATACATCATTGGTGTAGTAGACTTGACTTCGACATTCACCAGTTCACACACTTGAATACATCCATCGAACTACTCTAGCTAGTTTAGCTGAGATTAAACCCTTGAAAAAGTTGAATGTTATTTTCAGTCCCCTTCTTCATTGTGTGGTCCTTCATCAACTCTGTTGCCTGGGCATATGGAACAACACAAGCCCTGCCCTGGACCACGGTCATCATGCTCATGGCACTCTGGCTCTTCAGTAAGTACTCATCACCATTCATCATTAGATCGACCGCCTCCGTGGTGTAGTGGTTAGAGCGTCCGCCCGGAGAGCGGAAGGTCGCGGGTTCGATCCCCAACCGCGTCATACTAAAAGACTAAAATATGGTACTTGTTGGTCCCTGCCAGGCGCTCGGCATTAATGGGTACATCAAGGACTGGTCGGCTCGGAGTAAGTATCATGTGTCTGAGTGGGGTATTCATGCTTCACTGCGGCATGGTATCTCAGTGGGCTAGCACTATAAAACCAGCTTCAGTCTGGGCTAGTACAAGCAGCCGCACATACACATACACACGCATGCACGTCGTCATATGAGCGAAATATTCTCAAGCACGACGTTAAACCCAATTTCACCTCACCTCACCTCATAATTAGATCAGAGTCATTGAAATATAATTTCCAAAGATGTTATGCTATTTCCATAAGATGACTTTAACATGTTATATTTCCCATTCAGTTGGCTATCCACTGACTGTCATTGGTGGAATATTTGGAAAAAACTGGGCTAATGGGTTTGATGCACCGGTGAGGACCAAGAATATTTCTCGGGAGATTCCATCTGTGCCATGGTACAGGTCTGCCTTTGCTCACTGCGTTGTAGGAGGATTCCTACCCTTCAGGTAAGGCATTGTCTGGTTCTGACTATCGGGGCTGGGGGGCATCTTTGTAGCTGAGTTTTAACATGGTGATTTACTATAGGAAATTGGACATGGATTTTAGAAATTGTCAGATCTAAAATTTAACTGGATTTGAATCAGCCATACATTTTGTCCACAATTAATAGTTATGCTGACAAGAGGCAATAATATGTGTGTGCATTAATATTGTGATGAGCAGGCTTCCTTTGATGTTGTGGACTTCCTGTTATTTTTCACATAATTCATTAGAATGTGTGACAGAATTGGGGCATGTACTTTCATGTTGAAATTCCAGTTAGTTAAAAATTGATTCAATGAGTTACGTTTCTGTTTGTCTAATTGCAGTGCTATATCTGTGGAACTGTACTACATATTTGCTACGCTATGGGGCAGAGAGCAGTACACCTTGTTTGGCATTCTGTTCATTGTGTACGGGATACTGCTCAGTGTTACTGCGTGTATATCTGTGGCCTTGACCTACTTCCAACTCTCAGCGGAGGATTATCGGTGGTGGTGGCGGTCAATCTTCAGTGCTGGGTAAGTTTTCTCCCTTGCATAGGTAAAAGTTGTGCCCCTTACTTCAGTTAGCCTTTAGACTTTATTGGTTTTAGAAGTGAAATGAAGAAAGTATTATTGAAATAATAACAGGTAGTTAGTTTAGGCTGGTTGTCCATATAAATGTCCTACTTATAGTTGATATGTTTATTATTCCCTGACTGTTCAAACTTTAACATATTTAAAGTTATTCCATAAGAAATGAATTCCAAGATAAGCAACATTTCAGTTGTGTAACTACTCCAGTTATTATTACATGACATGTTTTGTTTCAGATCGACTGGAGTGTTCGTGTTTCTGTATGCTCTCTTCTACTACTTCAGTTATTATTACATGACATGTTCTGTTTCAGATCGACTGGAGTGTTCGTGTTTCTGTATGCTCTCTTCTACTACTTCAGTTATTATTACATGACATGTTCTGTTTCAGATCGACTGGAGTGTTCGTGTTTCTGTATGCTCTCTTCTACTACTTCAAGCGATCCAACATGTCTGGCATGCTGCAGACTGTGGAGTTCTTCGGTTACACGTTGCTGGCCTGCTTTGTATTTTTCCTCATGCTCGGAACAGTCTCCTTCTTTGCTTCTCTCAAATTTGTCCGCTACATATACGTGAATCTCAAGATGGATTAATGTTTGGTTGTCATTTTAACGTGAGTGCACTTGTTGGGTGCTCAGGGTGCAGATGTTGGTTCTGGTGAGTGAAAGGATTGTGGTGGAGATATGAATTAACTTGTATAAGGGTAGAATAGTGTGGGACTCAAGTTCTTCAGTTTATTGTTAAATCTATTAAGTTTTCTTCCATGATGTTATTCTTTGCAGTTGAAGAATATTCTATTAAATGTGGTATTATGATATGAGAATTGTGTTTATGTGAAACTGAGAGCGTTAACTTCTGTTTGCATATATATTTTATAAAATTATGGAGAGATAAATATTTTGAAAATCATTAAAAACCTTGACAAAAATACATTTATCTACAGTGTATGAAATAAGGCTTGTATGACCACCCGAGATGGGCTAGATTTCTGACGGACGGTCTAAATTTACAGCTAGCCAGCCTTGATGGTCTGGTAAAAAAAATTAGATAACATGTTCCATACATCTGAGTAAATTGACCATATCTTAGAATCTATTCTTTGAAAATGACTGTTGTAAATAGACTATTAGACAGTAAATACATGTCTCAGGTTCATTAAATTATTCTTTGTAACTAAAAATTGAGTTATTTTCTTTGGATTGTTTGGTCTGGTCATGTCTGATTTTGGGCTGGTAACATTTTGAAGTAACCAGTCCTGATGTGTGGCTGGGTTTGGGGCTTATTTCATACACTGTCATCTGTCAGTAAATGCAGCCATGAATGCAAGGAATGGATAGCTGATGATGTTATTGTGCACCCAGATCTTTCTTGATCTTAATGTTTTGAAGTATGTGTGAACCTAGTACTGGCACAAGTGTCACCAGCTGGAAATAATGGATTTGTGATTATCATTCAGGATTTCAGGATGTACTGGTAACTTCTGTTGTGAAATTTGATAGAACCATTGTAGTTCCCTACTCTTTCACTTGTATGAGTATGTTATCACACTGGGCCCATGTAGGGATTTGGCTCAATAGGTCCTTGTTCTTGTATTTGTAAACTCTTATGATGTAGTTAATATTGTAGAATACAGTCCAATACCCCTTGTACTTACTCACAATTTGGCGTCTCATTTATTCAATGGGCCCAATTCTTTTGTGCAGAGTTGCTCCCTTAGCTCTTAGGATTTGTTTGTAATGGGTTCAAATCCCAAGTTCACCAAACTATCATATTTGGTTAGTAAGCTCCATAACAATTTCACCATTTGTTTCTCCGGTAGTTTTTGCCAGTCACAACTCAGCTCCTTTGTAGTTCCCGCACACATGAAGCTGCCAGGCCAGGATAAAACTGACAAACTGTTCCAAATAGTGTTAGACTGACTTCCTCACACAGTCTCAGCAAACCAGGCGACCAATTCCACATCTGGAGGCTGGAACTTCATTAGTAGCTTATAGCATGGGATGTGTGATTGAAGCTGCACTAAGCTTGATGAAGTCTTGTTAGGTGTACTTGCTGGTCTGTGTTCATAGATTGATAATCATCCATTGTTATCACCAGTGTTTCATCGTAAATGTGTTTGAATTATGGATATACCCATGACGTATCAATCTCAATTAAGTGTATTGACAGAATGAGTCGATTCCATATTTTTGTGTGTTTAAAGTGAGCCCAGATTTATGTGGCTTGAGAGAGATGTCCCATATTTTTCTTATTTACAAGTTGTGAATTAATCTTAACCATTACACTTAAAACAATGTCATTATTTGTTTATTACATGTTTGATCCAAGGTGAGAGAATGATGGTTGATTTTATGAACAAATTATATTATGGCAAAAATTTGTGGAAACTTCTGTGTGTTTTCAGCAGTGTCTTACTCCTAACAGTTCCTAACTACGCAAATATGGTGCATAGAGCTTTGAATTGACACGAGCCTACGTAGAGATACGTTTGTGGTCAATGAAGATATGATACAGTAAACTCCTTTGTCAGATATGACGTTTAATTTAAGGAAAATAAGGAAAGGGAAGTTAGTGAGGGGCCAGCAATCAGCTGATTGTGTTGTGGCCTTCATGTTCATGTGAGATGAGTAGGTGTGGATGTCAGAACAAGGGAAAACAGCAACAAGTGCTCCCTTCATACCAAAGGGACTAAGGGCGGTTTGGTAGCCTAGTGGTTAAAGCATTTGCTCGTCACGCTGAAGACCTGGGTTCGATTCCACACATGGGTACAATGTGTGAAGCCCATTTCTGGTGATATTGCTGGAATATTGCTAAAAGAGGCATAAAACCATACTCACTCACACCCAAAGGGACTATGGATGTTATTTAGTGATGAAATACACTCAAGTCAATAGTCAAGTCCATTTTCTAGAATATGCTTTTTCCCCCATTAACAATATAAGAGAATTCATCTTCGAAAAATTATAAATGCTTTTTAAATGTATATTCCCATGTTGGCACATTCAAAACAATCAAATTTAGAAGTGTTTGAATTTATATCATGAGCTGTTGGATATTAAATAAATGTTATGATACAGAACTGTTTTGGCAGGAGAAGTAGCTATCTTTTATACAGTGAGCCGTCAACACTTCAGTTTGGTGAGATTTTGGTGAGCAAGCAGGCGAGAACAAACCAAGTTAAAACAACAATGTACCTGTCTGTTTCGTGGTTTAAGTATTCACCGTTAGTATGACATCATGTATCTGTGATTCAGAGACATTTTGTGGAAGTTAGAAAGGATATTTAATATGAAGATTGTATGATACATATGTATGTCATATTGATGGCGAGTTGTGCGTTGTACTTTGAGATAATAATATTTGTGGCACCAAATTAGCTTTTATCTTGACATTTGCTTGTTTGTATTGCTTATGAATGCCAGTTTGTGAAGATGAAAACCTATGTACAGAAATGAACAGTGAGAATTATTTTGTCTCAACACTGCTGTGAATATACTACAGTCCGTTTGATTTCATTTGAGACTGATGAATTGCTCATGAACAAAATCTAATAAATGCAGTAAAACCAAATTGTGCACAGTCACATGAAATCGACAGACCAACTATGATGATTTGTCTCATAATTTTGGACATCCGAATAAAAAACTTGTTTAACAAACAATCATTATTTTGTTGTCGCTTACCGCTATTTTGTACGATGGGGGACCACTTGGTGGTAGAACATCCAGGCAATCAACAAGCGTCTGTAGTGAAATTCCAATATCATACGTGCAACTTGCACACCTAGCTGTTCTACCAGAAAGCGGTCTCCCCTCGTGAAAGATAGCGAAAAGTGACAAAATAATGATCGTTTGTTAAACAACTTTTTTTATTTGGTTGTCCAAAATTATGAGACAAATCATCAGAGTTGGTCTGTCGATTTCATGTGACTGTGCAAAATTTAGTTTTGTTGCATTTATTAGATTTTGTGTTAGTGAGCAATTCATCGGTCTCAAATGAAATCAAATGGACTGTACATCATACCGTCACTATATTCGGGAGACCTAGGATATGTTGACATGTCTGAATACATCATGTATCTAATTCAGTATGGAGTTGTCCACACTGATATGGCTTCAGTAAAATCAGAACTGTTAATGATAACACCTCGGTTTTCTTTCATCCACGCATTTATACATATTCCCTGGGTTAATTTCCATATGTTTTATTGTCCCCCGCCGCAACGCGGAACGGGGGACTATGTATTCAGCGGCGTCCGTACGTCCCGATTCTTGTTAACGCGATATCTCATGAACTGTTGCACCCAATGTCTTCAAATTTGGTGACAGCCTACATTGGGGGATTATGCAGACACCAGTCGATTTGGGTGACCTTGACCTTATTTTCAAGGTCACCACGACACTTTGACCACTTTTCAAACTCTTGTTAACGCGATATCTAATGAACTGTTGTACCCAATGTCTTCAAATTTGGTGACAGCCTACATTGGGGGATTACGCAGACACCAGTTGATTTTTGGTGACCATGATCTTATTTTCAAGGTCACCACGACACTTTTCACACTTTCAACTCTTGTTAACGCGATATCTCATGGACTGTTGTACCCAATGTCATCAAATTTTGTGACAGTTTACATTGGGGTATTACACAGACACCAGTTTATTTGGGTGACCTTGACCTTATCTTCAAGGTCACCACGATACTTTGACCGCTTTTTAAAGGCGATATCTCATAAAACATTGCACCCAATGTTTTCAAGTATGTTGACAGCCTACATTGGGTGATTATGCAGACACCAGTCATTTCAGGCATCTTGTATGTGACCCAAAAATAAAAAGTAGTAAATATAGATATTCCATTCTTTAGCGGCGGGGGACATTGCCACATCAGTGGCAAACACTTGTTTAAGGTTATTTTGTTGGCTTCTTTTCACCTTTTTTTGTATATTTTCCTTGAGGGGAAAAGCTAATAAATATGTGTACTTATGGTGCCTCCTGTTACAAGCATTATCAAGGAGACAGTAACATGGCAATACAAGGTTGTCACATGGAATTGTTTGCAGAAGAAATGTTTTGTTTTGGCTGGGAGAGTGGTATAAATATATTCTTATTACTTACTTGATTTAAAAGGGCAGAACAGTGTCTTTGTCCATTGGGATAGCTTATCATGTGTAATGGTCATTAACAAAACTGTAAATCCAGGGTTGGGGTATCTAATAAGGGTAACTTGAATTCCTACTGGGGCAGTGGCCATAATTTGCTGTTCAGAGTTATGCACCTTAGCAGCTAGGCTTTTTCTGGCAAAGTTTCACCAAAGAGATAATGATATTTGTCTTCAGGACTTTGCTGTAGGTATCCTTCGGTGTAGCGGTAGTATGTTAGGCATTTAGTGATAACACAGCAGTAGCATCTGGCAAATGTCCGGAAAGACTAAACAAACTGCTGTGGAAGATTTGTTGCAATAGCCTAATATATTATTCAGCTTTAGATAACGACATCCTAACAGCACAGTCATTTCCTGGCTAATTTGAACTTGGTTTTACAGAAGAGGTATTGGGTTATTATTTTATGAAAGTTTTGTAGAGGCAAAATCTGGGGTACTATTGGTATTCAGTTACTGGTATTCGTTTGGCAGGAACGAAGAGGGTGTGTTCTGCTTGAAACATTCTCTGCTGAACATTAAGTAATATCCTTGTAAATAGGCAAATTTGGGTGTACATTTATTTCACGTTTAAGACTTTTTGTTTAATCCCATCATAATCTCCTCATTGCCGCCATCACAAATGCCTGTATATCACTAAGGTTGTAAATATTTCCATTGGAGGGGTAAGCAAGTGTTCTTTGCAGAACCTTGTCTAGTATCACTAGAAGATAACTGTCTACATCATGGTAACTTATTATTGTATATAATCAATAAAGTCTGTTCAAAATAGATTAATATGTGTGTT